CGTACAGCAGCCTTCCTTCCTTCCTTCCTTCCTTCCTTCCTTCCTTCCTTCCTTCCTTCCTTCCTTCCTTCCTTCTCTTCTTCCTAATTCCTCCCTTTCCATTCCTCCTTCCTTCCTCCCTCCCATTTTCTTCTTCCTAATTCCTCCCTTCCTATTTTTTCCCTCCCTCCCTCCTTTCCCCCCTCCCTCCTAGAAGAGCCAAACTGGTACCACAGTGGGCACCTGCTCCCTTGTTCAGCCTTCTGAGGCATTTCCTCAGAAGTAAGCTGTTGCAGGTTGCAACCCGGCCTGCTCTTGACCTGCTCTTTCTTGAAGGCCTCTGGAAAGGTTGCTCAGCCCCTTTGTGTGTGCTTGACTCTCTGGATCTGCTGCTGCTGGGGAAGAGGCGTCCTTGGAGATTCATGGACCCGCACATGCTGGCATCAACTCTCACTTGCCTGGGCACAAAGGCAGAGAAGGCCTTGCTTTTGATGTTTTTGATGCTGGCTTGGAGAGGTGTGATGAGTCTGGGTAGAGGCCAAAAGGGGAGTGTTTTTTTAGTAATTGGCAAAGGAAAACATTGAGGGACATTCCCACCTGGTCATAACTGCCCTTCCCGCTCTTCAAATTGGGGAGTCATGATGGATTCTCCAACCAAGAATTTGAATCTGGATTAAAAGAGTGACCTAGGGTGTTTCTCAGAGACCTGGCTGTGGGAAAAGGGAAACATTTCTCCGTCCATCCCTTCATTCTTTCATATCAGGTTAAGCCCTAAGAATGGGAAAACAGGGCTGGGGGGTTCTTTGACCAGAGCTCAATTGTCTTGACTGTCAAACAGTTGTAGACCTTCTGGTACTCACTGCTGTGCTCAAAACACTGAGGCAGAGTCAGGATCAGGGCCAGTTTTAGGCTAAGGCCAAGTAGCAACTGGACTAGGTGCCAAAGCTTAGAGGGCACCAAGGCTGCCCCTCCTTCCAAATATTCTAAAAATGCAAATCTTCACATTGGTGGGAGGTGAGGCCACCAGTCAATGTGGCCTAGGAGTGCATTTCCCTTGAGCTGGCACTGGTCAGGATTCGCATCAACCATTTCCTTCTGGAGTAGCTGGAACAATTTCAGGGGTAGTATTGGGTCACCCTCTCCTTCAACATCCCTCCTGAAATGGCCCAGGCAGAAGTGGCTCTGAATCTCTTGTCTGTCCAGATCATCATGACATGTCTGAAGGATCTGGCCCTATCACATTCCAGGGCACATTCTCAATCTGGTTTCCATTCTGAGAGTTGGTGATCTGAAGGTGGAGGATTGTGACTCCAAGGTTATCAACAAATCACTGATTAGGCTTCCGATGGCTGCCACTTAAATTCCACAAGGAGGTTAAACATCCTACCCTGGGTCTAAGGTGAGGCTGACTGCTTTTCTAAATGGACTTGGGAATCATCTTGCCTCACCAGCTTATGAGTGGGCAACCTGCAAGCCCATAAAACTCCATTTGTAGGCCCTGGAGCACCCCAAGATGGTGCCACGGAAATGATAAGAGATTGTGGGGAGCCTGGGAAAGAAGTGGAAGGGAAAGTCAATATAAACAATCAAGAGATACAAGGTGAGCCCACTGGTAACTTATTTAATGAATGGCAACTAAGGCCAGGTAGCAGAAAACCTGGGACGAAGTGTTTCTCCACTTTAAGCAAGTCACCATAAATCAGGGTGCACCTTCCAAGATTCAGTATTTACCCTGTTAAAGATACCATACTGAAGTCGGTGTGAGTCTTGATTCCGTCATCTTGCTCAGCTATGTGGGATTTGACAGAAATTGAGGAGCGAAATGGCCAATTATTAACACTGGATTCATAGCTGAAAATTTCAGAAACAAGGAAAGGATGAGAGTGGAAGCCTTCAAGTGACAAAACACAGGAAAGTTTTCTACAGCCCAATGGCTGGTTGGAGTTTCAGCCCCCAACTCACAAAAGTTTGCCAACTCTTTCCTGAGGAACATAGAAATGACCTCAGTGGAATAACAACTTTGCTGTGTATCTTCTTCCTCATTAAAAAATCAAATCAGTTCCTAGATTTCATCAGGAACTGACAGCAATGAAGCAAAGAGGACAACGGTTAAAGTACCAAGAGAGAACATTGGAGGTGAAACTAGACTGAGTATTTGGGGATATTTTCTATGTGGTGAGAGAAGCAAAGAAGACATTCTTCCACCACTCATCACAGCAGAATAGAGCAGGCCAGCATTGTTTTTCATACTTGCAGTGTCTTCTTTGCCAAGATGTGGGGTGGGGCTGGAATAGTTAGTTGCTTGCTGTGAATATTTGCAAGGTTCTTTGTGGTTAATGTCAAACGGATGCACCTCAACTTGGACTCCAGCATTGGGGCAGAGGTATTCTTGGCAACAGCATCTCCTGTTATTCTGGATTCTTTTCAGCTTGTTGATCTTGAGAATGTGGGCAGTGTGTTTGGAGAGAGACAGACTTCTGTTGAAATCTTGCCTCTCCTAACTAATTAGATCTTTGCAAGCCAACCAGTTCTGAACCTCTTCATTTTCCATATCATTTCCATATCATTCACCATGGCATCCTCCTGGTTTGGCTGGCAGATTTGGGGGTGGTACTGTCCTTCTGTTAATTCATCTCAAGAAGATGGTCTTTGAAACAAATGGATTTCCTCTGGTGATGGTGGGAAGAGTGGGAGGAGTGTGCCCATATTTTTCAGCCCAGTTTTGGCCTTGCAGAAGGTTCTCCAGGAACCCTAATGGAAACCAATTTTGGGGAGACATGATAAGTTCCCATTTTAAAAATATCCCCTTTAAACTACCCCAAGCATTTAAAACTGTCCAAGTCATGAAGAATGGGATGAAATTACATAACCAAAATTTGGGCTGAAATTTGGTGGTATTATCTTAGATCAGGTGGTTGAGGGGTTGCAAAAGGGCATGTGGGTTGATCGGCTGCCCATCCTTGGTGTATGATGTCGCTCAGACCATCTGGTTCCTGAAATCCATTAAAGGCTGTTTCTTAAAAAAAACAGCGATGGGGGTTGGAGGAATAGCATGCTAAGAGCTATGCATGATGTGGAGAAAGTTCTTTTCTCATAATACTGAAATCATGACTGGAAACTAGCTTCAGGGCAGATAAAGGAAAATATTTTGCCACACGATGCATAAACTGTGTGATTGTCTCCCAGAGGGAGTAGCGAAAACCATCAATTTGGAATTGTTCTTGTGGATTTAGGATAGATTGCTGATCCAATGATATGCCTCAGTCATCATATATAATATCCTTTTTTTCCCTTAGCAATCTCCAGGGTGAAATGCAGAAACATGGAGCCATGTCCTAGATTAATTTGCTTCTTGGGATTCTCTTTACTCTATTCCTTAATTGGCCTGGAATGGAAAGAAAAAAAAATTGGCTTTCCTACAATTAACAGCTACAAGTGGGAAAAAAGGGGTCTCAAATCTTGTTGTACCAATGGACACATTTGTAGCATTGGAAGACACCTTAAGCACTATCATGACTACCTTATTGTGTGTGTGTGTGTGTGTGTGTGTGTATGTAGAGTCTTTCACAAGTTCCTTCCATAATGAATATGACTAGTAGTAAAACTCCTATTTCCAAAAAGGGAAGGGAAGGGAAGGGAAGGGAAGGGAAGGGAAGGGAAGGGAAGGGAAGGGAAGGGGCCAAGTTGTTTCAGATTCTATAGCTTCTTTCCTTTTTATGTACAGGACCTTACCCCATCTGATGTTTTCATGATCTGATCTATATTTCATATATTAAAGTGATACAATGCAAAAATCTGTTTTCAATTTCCCAAAAGTTTTCTACTCTGCAACCCCCCCCCTTTTTTTTTGCCCTAAGGAATTTCCCTCCCCCTCCAATCCCCTACCCCAGCAACACCTTCCTACAGATGCATATAGACAGACTATGGATTTCTTGTTCTTATCTTGCCAATCAGCTGGTCAAGGAACGTGTGTAAGAGTGTCTCCTTCCTTTCATTGTACAATCTGCTGCTTCTGTAGCTTCCCCCATTTCAGTTAAATTCCAAGGGGAGAAAAAAATAGGAACATTTATTTTTTGTTAGATTGGGAAGCACGATCAGCAAGCTTCAGGGGGCTGGAAGGATACATAGCAGAAAAAGAGCAACAGCTTCTTCCATCACTTCACAAAGAATGGAGTCAGCTCAACAGGTCTCATTCATATGCATCTGTATTGCAAGAATTTGGGGGGGGGGCAAACTGCAATTGACCTGTGATTATAAATTTGCAAGTGTAAGATGTGCCACTGTTACTTAGTATCTAGGATCTGTGCTCAGTTGCTTGCTGTCATATTCTGTGCAAGAAACCCAGTAGTGCAGTCTTAAGAATTTTTTTTAGTGGTAGCACCTCCATGTTCCTAAGTTTGACACCTTCATGTGAACTACAGATGTTCCCTTCTATTTTCCTTCTTCAGCAGCTTAATTAACCATGTGAATACATCCGGCGGACT